CATTCCAAAGAACAATTTGTTATTTCAACGATTAGATTTTTTGTTTAAATGTATAAATGCTTGTTGAATATTCTTATTATATATCATCCTAATTTCAAAATAATGTTTCATTTTTTCCATAGAAAAAGTACTTTTGTAATATTTTTTTATAGTTTAGGAGAAATATTATTGAAACAAAAAAATAGAATCTTATTTTTAATAAAAATAACATTGAAACAAGTAAAAAATTTATTTTTTATAAGGAATATAAATTCTTGAAACAAGAAAAAAATACATAGTTTTAAGAATATAAGTTCTTGAACAAGAAAAAAAGTTCTTATATTAAGAATAAAAATTCTTAAAGCAAGAAAAAAAATTCTTATATTAAGAATAAAAATTCTTGTTATAAGAATAAAATACTTGAAACAAGAAAAAAGTTCTTTTTTTAAGAATAAAAGTTCTTGAAACAAGAAAAAAATTCTTGAAATAAGAAAAAAAATTCTTGTTTTAAGAATAAAATTTCTTAAAACAAGAAAAAAATTATTGTTTTAAGAACAAAGGTTCTTGAAACAAGAAAAAAAAATTCTTATTTTAAGAATAAAAATTCTTGACAAGAAAAATTCTTGACAGTAAGAAAGACAGTAGAAAAATTCTTGACAGAAAAAATATTCTTACGTGGCGGACAAGTCATTTATTTCTTGTTTTAAGACTTTTTTTTGCTTAAAACAAGAATTTCGGATTTTGCTGTGTATACATTTTATATGTATATTTATATAAATATATATTCTTTATGTGTATATATATTTATATATATATATATATATATATATATATATATATATATATATATATATATATATATATATATATATATATATATATATATATATATAGTATATATATATATATATATATATATATATATATATATATATATATATATATATATATATATATATATATATATATATATAAATTTGAGTAATTTTAAATGTATTCTACAAAAAGCGTTCCTAAAAGAACTGAGCAACTAGCAACTAAATACATATTTATTAAATAATTTTTTTTTTTAACTTTACATGATTTATACTGAGTGTAGGCTATAAAGTTGATAAAAAGATATAGCTTGACAAGACTTGTTTTGTCTATGGATGCAAGAGATTGTGCTAATGGCATTACTTCTGTAGAAATGTTAAGCAAGTATTACTTCTGTAGAAACGTTAACCAAGCAAAAAATTTCACAAAGCAATAATATATATCATTAAAATATATTCTATAAAATATTGACTAATAAAATAACGAAATCACCAGAGTAATAGCATATATGGTATTACTATGATGATATTAGTCAATATATTTATAGAAAAATCAAATATTAGGAATTAAAAAAAGTTGATAACTGCTCTATGTAGAGAAAACTTTACTGGTCCTCATAAATAAGCAGTTGTGTTCAAAGAAGAAGTAGTACTAAATCAGCTTTAAATACAGAAGCTGATATGGGTGGAACAAGGTCCTCATGTGATCAGTAGTTCAGTATGTTGCCATACCAAGCACTTTTGAAGCACCATAGTAATAGCATACTTAGTTTCTTACTAGTTTTATTACTAACTTTTGATGTTTTCTTACTGTAATTTAGCTAAGATCATATAGATCTGTTACTTTATAGTGAGTTGACAGTTGCACAAAAAGATAATAATTTTTACAGGTCAAAAAGATAATATAAGAAATTAATTTCAGCTAAACTATGTGCATCTCCATATAACTGTTTTGATCTTTTTTCAATATTATAGTTTAGTTTTATTATAACTATATCAAATTATATATATGTATATATATACATATATATATATATATATATATATATATATATATATATATATATATATATATATATATATATATATATATATATATATATATATATATATATATATATATATATATATATATATATATATATATATATATATATATATATATATATATGTATATGTATATATATAAAATATGTCTTAAAGATGTCTTTACATCTTCTAAAAGCGTGTTTATTATCTGAATGTCTACTTCAGTATTCCAATATTTTGGAATAAACTGAACCCGATGATCAGTTAGCAAACAATTCTTTGTAGTTTATTATAACCTTGGAAACAACTGGCAAATTATTTAATCATTTATATCTATATTTTGACTTGTTTTCAGCAAAGTTTTCTCCTAAAAAATTATAAATTTCCGCGCAAAACATAACAATGTTTTGGGTTAACCAAGATGGCGGCTGACTTTCAAAATTGGCTTCATCGATTTTTATATAAAGTATATACCACGGCGTCTCCTGTTTATTAAACCTCCTTGGTAATATCAAAAATGGCAAATGTTAAAATATCTGCTGTACAAAATATGCAACAGTTTTGTTGTTTTCTGGACAAACCTTTAAAATTGCATTAAAACTCTAAACTTTACGCAGAAGCATAACTATGCTAGCACTAGAATAATTAGCTCGATTATTTCTTATAATGAGTACAAAGTTTTTTAAATGCCGTTATATATGTACTTATTAAAAGAAGTTCTATGAAAAAAAGGAAGTTATTGATCAATTTTTTTTGCATATTCCAATTATTTTTTGAAGCAAAGTGTGAAATATTTTTATATCTACACGTAGGTAAAGGCTTTGCTCCAATGAATCCACCTCATCTCATTTCTCCATAAGGCTGCGGCTCATTTTTAACCAATTTAAAATGGCTTTCTACATCTTGAAAATGGCATTGAAAATCAACTAAAGTTAAATTTTGCATATTTTGTATTTTCAACGAAATCATCACTTAACTTTTTAATATAGGTGATGGAGTTCGTGAAAGTTTCTCCAAGTTTACAAGACTATGGCAATCAACTGCATCAAAGTTTAGAAGAGGATCCTTTGAATTTTCTTACTTCTGAAGAATTTGAAACTGTGCATCGCCTTGCTATTTTAATTCTTTTTTGCTGCTATTTTTTTATTTCTTTTCGTTCATTAATCAACTTTCATTTTTTTTTTTTTTTTTTTTTTTTTTACTTAATTTTCCGTTTTTGTTACAATTAAATTCCATAATATAATACCAGATACTCTTATTCTTTCAAAAATAAACCAGTTATAATATAAAAAATCAAAGACAAAATAATAAGAGTTAGTTATACAAAAATAAATAAAAACGCGGGAAACAGAAGACCATTAAGTCTCATCATCAAGAACCGTTCTAATTATGTTTTTACAATATCAAATTCCTATAATAGTGTTAAAATCAAAACTTAATTAACTAAGGTAAATAGTGTTAAGACCAAAAACTTTTCAAAGTAAAAAAACAAAAACAAAAAATAAACAAACGAAAAAGCAAAGCAGTTTAAAAGAAATCATTAATAAGATTTGTATACTTTGAAATATTCTTTTTTATTAGTTTTTGAAAGCAATTTATATTGTTTACACCTGGTAAATTACTATATTTTGCTAAGATTTTATTCCAGATATGCGGAGCACGATACGTAATTTTAAATTGTTTTTGTTTAGTTTTGCACAATGGTTCAATTAAGCCTGTTGTGCGTAAAGTATATTTAATGTTAGGTTTTATTTCATAAAGATCATTAAAAATTGAGGGGCATTGTTGAAATTTACTTTTGTACCTGAGACATAAAATTTTATAAACGTTTATCTCGTATAACGTAAAAATATTCATAATTTCGAACAGTGGTTTTGCATGTTCGTTTTTATTTTTAAAATTCATTATTCTTAAGGCATGTTTTTGTTTTCGATAGAGTGTTTCAAGCTTGCTTTTAGATGTACTACACCACGCAATATTTGCGTAATTCAAGTAACTTTGTATAAAACTGAAATAGATTTGTTTTAGATGATGCTTTTTAAGTAAATCGCGTGACTGATATAGAACGCCAATACTTTTTGATATTTTGCTGCCAATATAGGCAATATGTTTATTTCAGGTAATATTTTCGTCAATGAGAACACCAAGAAATTTTTCGCAACTAACTTCTGTATTTTCAATAACTAGTTTTTGAAAAGAAATAGGATTTTTTTTTTTAAAAAAAAAGGGTGGAATAATGAGAACTTTGTTTTATTTGAATTAATAGAAAGTTTATTTGCATTGAACCATAGTGAAATTTTATCTAACTCGTTGTTCATTTGTAAGTATAAAATTATTTTCTGGGTGACTATAATATGCAATTTTTTGAATGCATTTATTGACTATAAGTCAATCACTTTCATAAAAGAAGCTAGAAAATTGAGTTAAGCGCCACAAGTTTGCATTAGCTTAGAGAATGTAATTAGCAAGTATTATAAGCTCTGTAGACAGAGAAGTTCTTGCAACATACAAACGAAGGTTTTAATTTGCTGTTGTCAGCCATCAAGAATAAACCAATTTTTCTAAGTTTTCTTTTGCCTCACCTGTTTTTATTACCTTGCACATGTTATAAAAATACTGTTGATCTACCTTAATATTATTTGCACAGCAAAATCCAAGGTTCTTGTTTTAAGCAAAAAAAGTCTTAAAACAAGAAAAAAATGACTTGTCCGCCACGTAAGAATATTTTTTCTTGTTTCAAGAATTTTTATTCTTAAAATAAATTTTTTTTTTCTTGTTTTAAGAACTTTTTTTCTTAAATATTTTTTTTTTCTTGTTTTAAGAATTTTTATTCCTAAAACAAGAATTTTTTTTCTTGTTTTAAGAAATTTTTTTCTTAATATAAGAATTTTTTTTCTTGTTTTAAGAATCTTTATTTTTAATATAAGAACTTCTTTTCTAGTTTCAAGAACTTATATTCTTAAAATTATGTTTTTTTTTCTTGTTTCAAGAACTTATATTCCTTAAAAAAAATCATTTTTTACTTGTTTCGATGTTATTTTTATTTAAAATAAGATTCTATTTTTTTTTTTCAATAATATTTCCCCTGAACTATAAAACAATATTACAAAAGTACTTTTTCTATGAAAAAAAAAGAAACATTATTTTGAAATTAGGATGATATATAATAAGAATATGCAACAAGCATTTATACATTTAAACAAAAAATCTAATCGTTGAAATAACAAATTATTCTTTGGAATGTTTCATTATTGTTCATGCTTGTAGCGGCAATACTCCACCCATGTCCAAAAAAAGTGTACTCCAATAAGTTCCATCACGAAGTCAGAAAATGAAAAACTTCATGAAATAATCTTTTGCCACACATAATAATCACTTTGTCTCCATCGTCTGTTACGTACAGATAAGGATTTCTTGTACCTGAAAATAAATTTTACAAACTCAAAATTTAACAATAATATCTTTTCATATCTTAAAATGTCGACAATTTATAACTCATTTTAGTTTTACTAATTTTGAGGGTTGTGTTTGCATGCATACCTACCTGTATTTGAGTATTTCATTTGTATTTGGGTATTTCATTTTATCCAATAAATATATGAAATCACAAATGAAAAAAAAAAAATTTTTACCAATAGCACATTAGGGAAACATTGATATTTCTCTAAAAATGCTGCAACTCTATCAACTTTCTCAATTGGAAATTTATTTACCCAGGTTAATAAATTAAAATTCTATACTTCGTTCAATTAAAATGCACCAGAACAATGTTCTAGTGCATTTTAATTGATCATGTTATAAAAATAAGGATAAAAAACGTAAAAAATTAAAATTAATAAATAATACTGAATTTACTAATTGAAAAGTATTGTTTTCTTTACTTACTTTACTTTGCATATATTTGGAAACTTGCAATTGCTTAAAAGAAAACACACACATATATGTCATATATGTGTATGTATGCAACATAAACATGGATATTTAGAAATAGTACTAATACTAATCTTAAGTAAAAACAAACTGTATAATAATAGCAATAACAATATTAAAACAATTATAACGAGGTAAGTAATGTTAACAATTATATTTATATTAATATAATAATAACAATAATAATAGTAACAATAATATTGATAAATTTTAAATTTAATATCAAACAATAACAATAAGTAATAGTGATATGAATAGAAATAAAATAACTTTGATATTTATATTACATATAATCATACCAAGAGCAATAATAATGACCCACAATGAGTCCAACATTTTACGAGCAGTAATTACATTTCTCCAAAATAAAAAGACATAAAGATGAGTTTTAGTAGTAAAGTTTAGTGATATAAAGTGAATATAAAAAATAAATTATTTTATGAATAAAAAATGATAAACTATTTCATGATTTTATGCATTGGTTTGTGATGTGATTTGTTATGCTGTACTTAACTGAACAATGATTTAGAATATATTATTTAAGGTTGCTAAAAGAGGAAGATAAATTTGAGAATTTTTTATAGAAGTAAAGTAATTACAGATTGAAAGAGGTAGGGTAACTTGTGTGTGATTTCAGACAAACAGACAATTTAATAGATGAACAAGAGCACACAATTTGATTTTAAATAGAAAGAAAAGAATATTAGAATAAGAGTGATATTCTTGAAAGTAAATTAACTTAAATATCTTGTTTTTAGATTAGATATTCATAATAAATTATTGGTTTATAAATTATAAGTATATATAATATATCATATTAGAGTGTTTGTAGTATGTTTGAGAAATAAAATTTATATTATTAGGTACGTGGACTGATTTTTTTAAATTGATCCAATACTAGAATGCTATATATATTGGAAAGCCCTCAAATACAGTATTTTAAAGGTGAAATAATTATGAAAATTAGACAATTCTATAAAAAATATAACGTTTTTAGTAGCAACTTTTCAATATATGGATTTCTTGATAAAACTGTGGACAAAAAAAAAAATTTCTACATAAATTATTATAACTTTGACAATTCTTATTTAAATATCTACAACTTAGTATCAAAAGATAGATGTAAAAATGGGCCATAATTTCAAACTAGTGTCTAGATAAAAAGCGCATGGAGGGATACAGAAGGGTGCTAATTCGCCACCTACACCTGACAAAAACACAATTTTTTTTTTTAAATAGAGTGTTTTTTTTATAAAATTTGTAATATTTAAATACAACAAGTTATCATTTATTCCACAATACTAGCAAATATTACAGGTTTATCTTAAAGTTGGGTGTTGGGTTTTGGGGAAGGTTTAACACACCCTATCAAAATTTCATTCTTATAATTATTACAATCTTTACTAAAATGATTAAATCTATTATAAAAAACAAAAAAATATATTTCAACACTATAACAAAGAGTAATTAGTGGTTTATAGATTGCTTTGATGAAAGAGGGCGTATACTGCCCCCCCCCTTCCCCTCTGCTATGAACATACACGAAAACAACAAGCCTTTTGAAATAAAAAAGTGTAGTATAGTATGTATAAATTGCCTTTATGCACCCCTTTTCATAAAGGCAATTTATACACCTAGAGGTGTATAATTTGTCTTTATAAAAAGAGGAGCAAGCCATCCCCCTCCTCTATCGTAACCAAATAAAAAAATTTTAATTACAATTTAACAAAGAAGTCTTAAAATGTTTTTTTAAAGAAAAAGAAACTAGAATAAAAAACTATTTTACCACATTACAAGATGCATCTGAGTATACATTATCATGTAAAGGAACAGATTAACCACTCCAACCTGAGAAAAAAACACACAAAAAAAACAAGTTTTTTGAAATAAAAAATGTAATTATTTCTTGTCGGGGCTTCTAGTAAATAATTTAATTTTTAAATTACATTAACGAAACAAAATGAATAATTTTTAACAATAGACACCATGTAAAGGTAAGCCAGAGCCAACTATCAATTTGCAAGCCACAAAACTTGATTTGAGACAATAATTGAAACTCGGTGGTATTCTGTAAGTGATTGAAAAATATGTCAACAACTGGAGCATTATTTTCACAATGGTTGAAAAAAATAAAGACTTGGATCCCATGATTGGTAAAAAAGTAAGTGATATACAGAAAACGAAACAAAGAAATTTTTTCAACTTTTGGTCTTGTTCATTCTAAGTTAAGAAACCAATTGGGGGTAGAAAAAGCAGCAAAGCTTGTATTTATATATAGAACATAAAACAATGATATATTGAATAATTTTGATGAAATATAACAATAATATTGATAAAGAATATAGTTTACTCAAATAAAATACGTTATGCTATTTTAATTTAAAAATTTTAATTTAACTAAATACCGCATTTTTCAGTTAAAACCTAATTTAAACCCAAAAAACAATGTTTTTTTTGTTTTGTTTTTAAAAAACCTATGGTTTTTTTTTTTTTTTTTTTCAAAAAAACTGTTTTTTTTGCAACCCTGTATCTGACTATTATAACTAATACTAGTTTATTTAGTAGTTATATTTAGCTAGTATAGTTTACTTAAGTTGATTAATCAATAAATAATCATTAAATATAATCAAAATCAAAAATTTCAATTTATATAATGATTTTTATGTCTGATTTAAATTGATTTAAATTAAATGATTTAAACCAATCACCCACCAAACCAATCAACCAAACCAATAACCCACCAAACAAATCAACCAAACAACCCTGTTTATAAAAAAAATTTAATTTGCTATTTATACTAACTTGCAGTAAGCAACCCGTAATACGCGTTGTTAGTAAATAAAATTAAAAAAAAAAAAACGCGTATAGAAAAGCCTAGAAACTACTTTAAAATAAAAAAGCCTAGAAAATGACGTAACTCGACTAATAATAATAATATTAAATTAGCATATTCATATTATCAGATTTAAATAATTGCTTTATTAAACAAATAATAAAAAATATTTAAAAAATATTATTTGGAATTGACTTTTAAGATTATTATTACAGTTTCCCTTTGACACTGCTTATGTTAAATAGCAAAATATTCACATAGAAAAAGTTATTTAAAACACAGGTTTCTAATAGTAATATAGGTGCAGCCATCTTGTAGTATATATGTATGATCACGTTTATGTTGTTTTAAATCTCCATATTATTTATATAAACAATAAACTATTTGACTATTTTAAATAATATACTATATTCCCTATTTTTGTTAAGATTGAAGCAATAATTAAGTTATGAATGAAGCAATAACGTTTGATATCAAACAATTTTGTTAATTATATAAATTTTGACTTTGCCACATACAGCTGATTGCATCCATTTGCATATAAAGCTTTTCGTTTGATGCAGTTTTTTATCAAGAAATTTACCAAATATCAGTGTCATTACATTTCTTTAATATTTAAATATGTACAATTACATAATAAAGATAAATTAGAGTTTAACTTTTTGTAGACTTGTAGATTTCATATATGAAGTATATATATTACAGAATACAAACTATTTTGGAAATATTAATTAGAGACTCACAATATAAGGTAATGAAGCAAATTTAAACAAAAAAAAAATGCATTCCTTCAATAATTGTTTATATATTACTTACTATATATAAAAAAAAATTTAATTTGCTATTTATACTATTTTAAATACTTGTTTTATTAAACAAATAATAATAATCATTAAAGAATTATTAATTGGAACTGATTCTCTTAAGATTATTATTCCAGTTTCCTTTTTACTGTTCTTTAATTAAATAACAAAATATTCACATAAAAAACATAACATGCAAGAATATGTCTAGAAGTTAGCCATCTTTGAGATGGCTAGCATCTAGACATAGAGCAAACTACAAATTTTTATATGTTTATACATAAGGCTGATAATGGGTCTGGTCTTGGTCTGGGTCTGATCTGGGTCCGGTATCAGCGGACCTGGACCCAGATTTGACATATATAAACGGGTTAAGGTTTGAGTAAGGTTTCAACAGACCCGACCCAGACCCAGATCCAATTTAATAAAGAGTCTGGGTCTGGTGTGGAACCAGACCTGACCCAATCAGTTATTTAAAAAAAAGTTGCCCTTTTATGTTTATAGGTGTTCTTAGAAATCCTAATAGTCTTGTCGCAGAACAGCATTAAAGAGTTGGTATTGGTCTAATAAATGTTAGTATCATCATGAGTATCATCATGAGTATCATCATGAGTATCATCATGAGTATCATCATAAGTATCATCATGAGTATTATCATGAGAATCATCATGAGTATCATTATGAGTATCATCATGGCCGCCATCGGTAATTAAAGTAGTTTTTCTCAGTCATCATATTGAGTGTTGTAACTTGAGTGGAGCGTTGTAAATAATGAAAATATTAAAAATTTCATCTTATAATGTAAGGAGAAGTGATATCTATATGCGTAAGGGTCTTTGAAGGCCTTCAGAGCTTATATTTATACTTTTTTTTTATTTTTACTATTATCTTTATTAGTTTGAGAAGACCCTATTAAGTATGCTTTATAAACAGATACCTCATGCAAGATGCTTTTCCAGTGTTGCTCGTACTCAAATACTCAAAAAAATCTTTGAGGACTTTTACTTTCAACTTTGCACCACGTTGAATGCACCACGTTGAATGCACCACGTTGAATGCACCACGTTGAATGCACCACGTTGAATGCATCACGTTGACTGCACCACGTTGAATGCACCACGTTGAATGCACCACGTTGAATGCACCACATTGAATGCACCACGTTGAATGCACCACGTTGAATGCACCACGTTGAATGCACCACGTTGAATGCACCACGCTGAATGCACCACGTTGAATGCACCACGTTAACATAATTCTTTTTTTTCTTTTTTTTTTTTTTCTACATGTTTATTTTACAACTACAAAATATTTACAAGTAACCAATCACAGATTGACGGTAAAGATATACTAACATAAATATCATAAGCATAAAGTTCGAAATATACAAAAATAAACAAAAATATAGTTGCATACAACTCCGAGACACGATTAAAATAAACACCAATTACAACAATGTAGTAACGTGTACATAAATATAATCCGATAAATATATCTCTATATTATTCCAGTTAAAATAAAAATATACTATAAATAAAAATAAATTAGCTGATTTTTCGGAGAAGTGTTTAGATGTTTGACTATAAGTTTATTTACCACATTTCAAACAAATGTTTGTATAAATATAATAAAAACGAAATTTGCGTAAAATTGATAAGAAGAATTACTTGTTAGTAGTTAAAGGAAGCTCGCAGAAGACTTAAGTCAGTCTTGTCATCGAGTACCTTTTTCTGGACGTATAATACACATAAAAATCAGTTGCATACGTGGTATATATGTATGTTGTACATATATACCTTGTTATTAATATCATTATTTTTTATTATCAATTTGTATTTAAAGTTAAGCTACATTTTTTTAATTTTTTTTATTAATATTTTTAAAAAATTCCTTATAGTTGTTTAATTTGATTATTGCAGATTTTAGCTTAATTTTCAGAGAGTGTTCGTTGTTTAGGTTTAAAAGTGATTCGTTTCTGGAAACGAATTATTCTTAGATTCTTCTTAGATTGCAGTTGTACATTTTATCTAACCACTCCACCTTTTTTAAGTAACCATTTTTGTTTTTCTTTGTAACGTTTAAATCAAGCGTGCACTAATGACCTTAGAATGGTAAGATCCTAGATTATGCGAGCTCTTTCGTTGTAGGACTTCTAATATGGCATTCACACTTAAAGATGAAAAATTCTGGTCAATAGCTGAATCTCACAGGCCAACAATCAAAAGACTTTATTTATTACCAATGTATGTACAAAAACCCCTCCTATAATGTAGCTATTATAATAGCTAAAAACCTGGACCCAACCACGTTCAAAGACTTTTAACGCTCTTTTTTCTTTTACAAAATCAAAAAATATACTTGGTTTTGTTAGAGAATTATTTTTTAAATTAAAGGATATAAACTAAAATACCTCAAAGTTCAGGTGTTAACCAATTTTGTGAGCATATAATGGCTTTCAATGTCCTTGGAATCATAGAACTACGATATTCATCAAGAACTCTACCACCTGTGCTAAAGACTGACTCAGAAACAACAATAGACAACGGAATCGACAAAATATCTTTTGCTAAACATTGTGTAACTAGAAATTTGACTCCAACATGTCTCCATCATTTCAGTATGTCAAATCCTACTTGATCAACCATTAATGACTCATTTAAGTACATTTGTAATTCATTTTATAGTTGCAAAAAATAAGATTTTAAGGCTACATGTGTTTTGAATTTCTCAATCCTTTTTGAGTATAAAAAAGAAGCAGAAGAAGTAGACTGATTTGAAATACTTTCCTTTAGCCGTATTGAAATATTTAACAGCGTACTCATTACACAACTTTTTTAATAGTCCATTAATATTTTCTAACTTCTGTCCACTTGCGGCACCATAAATTTCCCTTAAGTAGTTCTCAACGCTGATCATTTTATAACGTGGTCCAGCACAGATGCAATGGCTAATATATTGGGACTAATTTTACAATATTTTGAAAATTTTGCCATCATTTTCCTCCGCATTTTACAGATATATACTGAATATGATTGATGCAGTTATCAGTTATTTGTAAATAACTTTGACAAATATGATTAAATTTAGTATTCGACTTCTCTATGAGAATTCTAACCATTGCGTCATTTGTTGAATAGTTATCTACAGTAACGCAAATGATTTTTTTATCAACATTCCATTTGTATAACTTCTCAAGTAAAGTTTTATATAGTTTAGCTCAAGTAAAGTTTTATATATTGCAGTATGAGGCGCATCAATTTCAATATAATAAAGTATATGCTTTTTTTTCTCCAACTATTATCAATATAGTGGCAAGTAAGGACAATGTAGGATTTATTT